TCTGTTGACATTAAGCGCTGGGAACGGTGAACGGTAGTGACGTTGAAGGTGGGCACTCATGGGAATGCGAGCCAACTGAGTTGTACAGTCAAAAGTTTTCTGAATTACGAGCTTAGGCAACCATGCAAAGTATCGTCGCAGTCGCTCTCAATCGCGTTCACGAGACTTCACGGCAGAGCTCGGATTCTTATACTCCGTAGTAGTTGGTGGCAGAGGTTCGTGTGCTTGCTCGGTTCGTGGGGGAGGGCCATTATCAGTTCTCTCCCCATTGCGATGACCATGACTATAACGAGTCTTCCGTCTTGGATTGCGCCTCGGTGTAGGAGGTACGTTAATAGTAAGCATATCCTTTGGTAAACCAGGTGCAAGAGCTTGAAAATCATCTTTGGCAAGCAATGGTCCTATTTCAATGTCAAAATCGATGGGAGCTTCAGGAGCAAATAGAACACTCGGTCGCCTATGTGACTGATTGACTTCAAATGCTGCCGGGATTGGAGGGTTGTCAAAGTAAGAATCTGGACAGAATAAGTCGACCATATTACAGCCAAACCAATCCGTATCAGTATCTGGACGTTCGTAAACCTCGTATAGTCCGTCAGTTGGTGCAATGTAGTCAAACAATTTGAAGAAATCAAGAGCCTGGTCCAATAGAGATTCATCCTTGAGAGTAGTGACAGTCTTATTACTCTTAAGGATACCGACTCGATCAAATGGTCTCTTGCCTTCTTCAGATCCATCATCAGGGATGGATTCGGCCCATTTCTCAAAGTCTTCCAGCTTGGAATCCAGTACACTAGGGGATCCCAGTCCTTGTCAGAAGTTAAGACAATGTGTGGTAGTGTATCAAGTTCACGTTTTGTCGGTGGTCTCATACGGACCTATGGAAGTCCATTGACAATCTCCATAGGAATGACCCAACCATCTGGGGTAGAGAGTCGCTGTTTGCCTCCTACCTTGGATGATCGGTCGTCTACCTCAACGCCAAAATGCTCCATCTGTGGGCTGG